AAGTTGAAGTCTTGAATAATAGAGGAGTCCACTGAAGTATCTCGCACACACACACACACACACACACACACACACACACACACACGTATGCCTTCCTGTTATGGTGAGGACCAAACAAAATGTCCCCACAATTCCTGAACCAAAGTATCAGAAAACCTCACAGGCATCACGTGTCCTAACAAACGCCACTGAGAACAAAAACAGGACAGTCTCACAGACCTGAGACCCCCGAGCAACCACAGGTCACTATAGGGGTTAAATTCCCCAACAAGTAGTTGCAAAGGTGGTGCTGCACCAAAAGCTTCCTTGCGGTGTCTTTGGTCCATGTTGGATTGCTCCGGTCGCCCATGGTTTGCATGGAAGTTGCCAACTACTCATGGAGCAGCAGTGAAACTGTGAGAAGTGCCACACAAACTAAAGAACAGAAACCATTCGCTTTGAAAGTAAAGGTTCGGCTTTATGAACCCTGTTGGTTGGAGTGGTAATGAAGACAAGTCTGTTTTTACGTATTGATGCTGATTGGAGTTTGTGGAAACCACAGCCACTCCAACAATCTGCTCACCAACGCAATCACAGGAAGGGTTTTGGTGCGGTCCCCTCTGTGTGGACGATTTCAGCCGACAGCCTGGGGTCACCAACCAGTCTGCAGTGAGGCCAAAGGAAGTCCTAAGGAAGAAGCTAACTGAACTTTCAGCATAAATATATGGTGTATGGAACAATGAGACATGCTGGGTTTTATAATATACTTTTACATTTCTGTTGGATAAAATTTGCTATTGTGATTCGAGCTGTCAAATCTTTGAGGTTTCTAAGCCTCACAGATCGTTTTAACTGGTCAAAATGTCCCCGTTTCTAAAAATACCCTCGATGCTGGGATCTGTTCTTTCTGTAAATTGAGCGAGACGTGCTCAGACGCTCTGCTTCCTCCTTTGTCCTCTCAGACTGATGACAGACCGGCTGCGTCGAGTTTGATTTAGGATGGTGTGGTGGTTCATCGGCAGTCCATGTTTTACCTAAAGGTGATGTAGATGGGGTCAGCGTGGCCTCTCTTTGGACGAGGTCAGATGTGTTTGACACATTATTATAAAGGAGGACTAGAATAGAAATGAGTAATTTTAGGTTTGTGTTTCGTTGCGAGTTTAGAGTTTCAGAGACTGAAGCCTTCGCGTGATTGGATGCATATTTAGACTATAAGTGATCAGTGAGGGTCCTTTGCTTATCTGATGGTGAGCCTTACGTCTTCGTCACTTCTTAAACGTGCAGTTGGGCCGACAGTGGGTGGAATATCTTTGCCATATTAAAAGCCGTAAGACTGGTTTGATAAAAACAGTAGATTTTACCCCAGACGACCCGGGAGCTGCTGGTCTGTTTGGGGTTTTGGTGAGACGCTCCACCAAGTGCTTCTCTTTTGGTCTTAAACTGTTTTATTCATCAGCATTCATTCATTCAGAGATCAGATGAAAGCGAGGTGCTAGACGGAGAAGTGTGATGCTTTTATTTTGTATGTTTTTTCCACAGAGCACTTCCTCTGCCTGACTGACTAAAGTGATTCGTTAGCTTGTCTGCTGACGGCTGTTTCCTATGTTCTGTGTTATTGCAGCGGGGGCGGGGGACAAGCTGGGCTGGGCGTTCGGTCTGGGCCTGGAGAGGCTGGCGATGGTCCTCTACAGCATCCCGGATATCCGGCTGTTCTGGAGTCAGGACGAGCGCTTCCTCAAACAGTTCAGAGTTCAGGACATCCACCAACCCGTCTGCTTCCAGGTAGACACAAACATCACACCTGAGTGGAAGAGGAGCAGATTTTCACACATAAACGCGATCGTGGCTCAAGAGTTGGGAGTTCGCCTTGCAATCGGAAGGTTGCCGGTTCGAGCCCCGGCTCCGACAGTCTCGGTCGTTGTGTCCTTGGGCAAGACACTTCACCTGTTGCCTACTGGTGGTGGTCAGAGGGCCCGGTGGCACCAGTGTCCGGCAGCCTCGCCTCTGTCAGTGCGCCCCATCACCAGTGTGTGAATGTGTGGACGACTGGTTGTGTGAACCGCTTTGGGGTCCTGAGGGACGAGTAAAACACTTTACAAATACAGGCCATTTACCATCCTGAAGACGGATGAACGTACCGACTGCACAATGAAAGAGCTAAAGTCTGTCTTCCATCCTTGTCTTCTTTTCTTTCCTGTTCTGTTTACGTGCCTTCCTCTCCTTTGTCCTTTCCTTTCACTTCTTGTTTCCTTTCATTCGTTAATGAAAGCTCCTCCCCTTGCCCTTAATTTGATCTTGTTTCCTTTTGTTTCAGTCCCATTATTTTGCTTTCGTCACCTTATCTTTTCTTCCCTCCTCTCTTCACTGCTCTCCTCATTTCCCTTCATCCATTCGTTTCATTTCCATTTTCCTTTGTCCTCTGCTTCCTGTTTACCCTCCGTGCAGTCTTATTGTGTCTCTGCTGTGTTCAGTCATGTCTCTCTTCAGCTACAACACCGTGTCTGTGCTTGTGTGTTCATCACTAACCTGTAATAACTGCTGGCTCGGTTAGTTTACCTTCAGATGCAATAACGAGTCCGAGTCTCTCGTAATAAAAACAATCTTCTACCGTCGTGAATTAATTCACAAATGCAGAAGTTAATTTGCCGTTAACAACGTCCTCCTTGTTATACAGCCACCGTTTAAAAAAGCTGCAAACAGACTGTTTCTTATTTGTGGGCCGTGGTGATCGAGAGTCGCACATACTTCCTACCAGCCAATGACAAAGCAGCAGCCCACCTACCTGTAACCACACTTTACACCTCACGCCGTGTGTGTGTGTGTGTGTGTGTGTGTGTGTGTGTGTGTGTGTGTTGTTGCCTCTTAACCTCATGCATAAAACATTTTGACAGTGGGGGCTCACATCAGCCGGCACCAGTCACTTCCACTGACCCCACCATCATCAACACACACACACACACACTGTGGGGTGTGTGCAGGTTCACACAGCGGTTACTCCGTCCCCACTAAAGGTGCTCTTTGTCGACTCTCGTCTTCACTAATAAAGAACATTTCAAGTGACTGTTGGAGGGCAAAGAGGAGAAAAGAGAGGAGTAAGATGAAGAGGAGGGATGGTGGGGGTGGACGAGGCAGAAAACAGATGGAGGGAGGAAGCAGAGAATGAGGAATAAATGAGGCGAGAGGTAGGACAGAGGAAAGAAGAAGATAAGAATAGATGCAGAATCTGACTAAATGCAGTTATTTGAATAAAAGATCTTTAGATGTAAAAAAAATAAAAGGATTGAGTGAAACGTAAGGTGAGAGAAAGTAGGGGGTGACATTAGTGAGGAAAAATGAGAGACAAAACACAGCTTTAATGGAAAAAATATGCTGAAGCGAGTTTGAGGAAGTGATTAAAAAAAGAAATGCTTGAAATAAATAAGAGAAATAAAGTGTGGGGAAAAGGAAAAAGAGGGAAAACAGATTAAAGTGTGTCAGGAAAACAGAGGAAAATGTAAATGACTAAAGAGGCACCAAAGTCTGAGAGGGGAAAGTGGAGGAGGAACGATTAAATGGAAGAAACAAAGTGCTGAAAGATACCTTAGTAAGAATGAAGAGAGTGAGAGGAGACGCTGGAAGGGTGGTTGGTGAAAACAACGACATGAACCAGTGTCACGTTATCCAAACACAGCGTCTTTGAACCGTTTCACAACACGTGTTCATCGCACTCAGCCAACCAATGCTAAACCTTCATTAACCGCTGTCCAATCAAACCACCTGCCTAGCTAGCAAAGAAGTCACCCAACTTCCTTAACATCCGACCAACAAACCAAAAAACTGAACCGAGCAGACAACACCTCCCTCCATTGTACAGCTAATATCTGCCTGTATTTACCCCACCTAACTACCAGCTGACCTACACAATCTTTCTTCCTTGTCAGCCAACCAATCCCATCCCTTCACCAACAATGAGAAAGAGCAGCTGATGACCAACTAACTTCATTACCTACCAACTTACCTTAATACCCAACAAACCAATCAAACACTTGATGAGAAGAACTGCTGCCTTTGAAAGTACAACCTATCGTCACCTACCTGGCAGCCCAATCACGTCCTTACCTTCCTACCACCTGACCCTGATGACCTTTATTTCTAGCGGGCGGACCAATCTTCTACTTTTAGCACCAATGAAACATGCAACGAAAGACCCACTGACCTCTTTATCCGACAGCCACCAAACTAGCAAACAAACAGCCAGTTGATCTGTGAACTACCGCCTTCCAAAGAACAAGTGATGGCTGAAATCATGTGCACGGTACTTTCAGAACTTATCTGGACCACTATTTTTTTGTGCTTTTGTGACAGAATCAACAAAGTTTTATTTACTTACTTACTTAAGCTGAAGTTTGTCAGCTCACATGGACAAATATTCACTCAGTTTATGTCGTCCTCTGAGTCGGCTGGTAATAATCTCCTTTAGGTTATAATCTTACTTCATTGTCTTTTGATCTGAACAAACTGAAGGAAACGAGAGGAAATAAATTGTAAATAGCAAATGCTTTTGAAACAGCCCACAGTGAGTGCATTCAATAAAGGTTTAACTGTATCTGACAAATTACAATAAACACATAATCAGTGTTGTTAAGCTGAAGACGTGAGGAGTGAGGGAGCGACCCTGCTGTCCTCCTGCTGTCCTCCTCACAGCCCTGTAAGTTTTATTGATAAACTCTGTTTCTCCAGAGGGGCCTGGGGAGCATGGCTCATCTCCTGCCCAGGGTCAGTTCACCTCTCCTGGGCTAAGGCTCTCCACCTCTCCCCCGAAAGCCTTTACTGGCCCCCACATCCACAGGTAATGAACTGTGACTGCCCAGGGCCTAACAGGAAATAGACTCCTTGGGTGTCGGTGTGTATGTTTGTATACGCACACACACAAATGGCTTCAGGGAGCTGTGCAGTGCCACTAAACTATTATAGTGTAAACAGACGGCTCACCTCCCTCCATACGTCTGCACAGTATGGTCAGAAATATGTGGATACTTCTCTCCTCACCTACCACCTGCTGTGCAAAGTCTTTCCCTGACGCTCGACTGAGTATAAAAATATCAAATGAGACTCGTTCATCTCTCTGTTCTTCTACCAGTTTTACTTCTGTCCTTTACTGAAATATGTATGAATTGTTTATTTAACCTTCGTGTGCAGCGCTTTGTGAAAAGCACTTAATAAATAAATGTTACAACTTTATGAATAGATGAATAAATAAAGTTTGGTTTCCAGTTCATTTATAATTAACTAACACTTACCAAAATCAGCCAATCAGTTACTTATCTGCTTGCCCAACCAGCAACCCAACCAACTAATCTATCTAACCAACCACCTACTTTAAGACGTCACGTTTTCTCAAACCTACCCAGCAAACCAACCAACCTTTACCTGCCAACCAACTGCTCAATAGGCCCCTTTCTTGCTAACCAGCCAACCTTTCATCTACCTACCTTCCTAGTTACCTAACCGAGCAATTGCCTGCCTGTGTAACCAACCATTTACCTACCTGCCTGTCTGTGTAGCTGTCTACACAGCTAACCAGTTGTTGTCTATGTTCCTTGACAACCAGCCATCTACTTTGCAAACCAGCCAACCAACAACTTGTCTTAAACCGCAACAAACAAACTAACCACTAATTGACTTTTTTGTCTAACTAATCACCTACATGTGCAGGCAACTAACCAACCACTACCTAAACCAACAACTTACAGCTAACTGGTGATACCTTTCATCCTGGGTAACAAACCAGAAATCTACCAACCACCAACTGACTGTCCAACCAATGTCAAGCTTTCACTAACAAAAACCCAAACAGCAGCTAACTGATCCATCACTGAACCACCTGCCTTCCTCCTGCAGTTAACTAAAGTAAACTAGTCTTTGATAACATATGAAACAAACTGACCAACCAACTGATCACCTTGCTGTTCTTTGCCTCCACCTTTGAATTGAGCTAACTACAGCCCAGTTTCTACAGAACATAACTAAATAACATTAAGTTGGCATGTTTCACTTTTCCTTGTTTTGTTCTGACTTTTTGTTTCAAAGGTGGAAAATCCAGTGTCACACAGATTGATATGTCTCAGTGAATAGCATTAAGATGGAGAGAAAATTAAGAAAATATCATTCAGGAGCAGAAATAACAGCAACTTCTCTCACTCTGTGCAAGTTATTCTGAGCATAATAAACAAGTGACAGATGATAGGAATCTCTCCTTCAGTCTGTCGCTGCATAAAACATCACATTTATTCTGTCATCCCGATAAAGTTTTAATGTGTTATTGTCTTTGTGTTTTACTCTCTGCTGCACTTTCTCCTCTTTCTTCCTACAGTCGGGCTGTTTCTCTTCTCCACTTTCTGTCACATTTCTTCTTCTGTTATTCATTGGGTTCTTTTTTGTTGCTTGAATCTGCAAATTTCAGCTCATTTTTATTCACCTCATCTCTCAATCTTTGCAGTTGGTGTGCTGATTACCCCTTCAGTCCTTACATCTTTGTGTTTATGCTTGGTTTACTTTGAAATTCTAATGAGTCTCCAGTCCAAATATCCCATAAATGTACATGTACGAAAACTAATCAATGTGGTGCACAAAGTAAAATTTCAACATCTTTGAGGATCATTAATAACTCATAATGTGTTATTGTGAAATTAAACTATTCTTCAGGGCCTAAACATCAGCCACAAATAACCTCAGCCACGCATCTGCACATAATACATGAATCCAGATGAAGACGTTACAAAACTAAAACCACAGCGAACCAGCAGAAAAACAACAGCGTTATGCCACATTAGCACTCAATCAATTAAACATAAAACTATTACAAATATAATCCATCATGTACTTTGCAACTATTAAGTGGGTACATTAATTATCATTGCATTATTTAGTTAAAATATATTAATGCAGACCAACCAGTTCCCTATGACCTAGCTACCCATCCACCCTCCTAACTACTTACACAACCAGCCTGCCAACCAGTCTCTCTGCTAGCATGGCTAACCAGTTACATACCTGCCAGTCTACCTGTGCAAACAACCAACTGCGTGCCTGTCAATTAAGGACTCACCTACATTCATCTACCACCTTTGCAACCAACCAATCTGTGTACCTGCCAGCATGGCTCATCACTTACATAACTACACAACCAACCAACTTCTTGCCTGCTTGCTTACTTTGATAACTAACCAGTTAAGTACCCACCCATGTAGACACTTAACCAACTACCTAGCTACATACTTGTACGGCTAACTAATTAAGTAATTAATTAACTACCAATCTAAACAACCAATTCCTTTCCTTTGCTTTACTACACAACCAACTAATTGCTTTCCCACCCACCTATGTACATGACTAACCAAACATGTGATTACCAGCCTATGCAATAAACCAGTTCCCTACCTTCCTGTTTGGGTAATCAATTACTCACCTACACGACTAAATAATTGCCTGCCTAGATAACTAACCACTATTTAATGAACCAATCAAGTGCCCACCTACCTAGATGCTCATTCAACCACCTACCTACTTACCTCCATGGCTAATCAGTTACTTACCTATCGACACGATGAACCAATCGTGTGCCTAGCTCTGTTTTTCAGGGACTTTTTTGTAAAGACAAATTATCAGTTAATATTTCCACCATTGCTTACAGTGAACATTTTTAAGTTGAGCTGTCAGTCATTGTTGTTTTATACGTTTGTTTTTCAGACGCTCAGTAAGTACCCACCTCTCCATAACGACATCTCCTTCTGGCTGCCGAACGGCAAAGAGAGCGAGGCAGGCAGAGAGAGCTTCACAGAGAACGACTTCTACGAGCTGGTGCGCTCCATCGGAGGAGACCTGGTGGAGAAAGTGTCTCTCGTGGACAATTTCACACACCCAAAGTAAGAAAACCCACTGAGGGTCAGTAAATGGCTCTTTTTGCACAGGTCATTATGATGCTAAATTCCCTCCTCCTGCTCAGAGTGCTGCTGGTACACCCTGTGATTAAGCAAACATCAGCGACGGTTGAGGTGACTGTCTTTATTGATATCCCAGGTTGAGAGTGATTAACAAGCTGTTTGGTTGTGAGGGACCAGGAGCTTCGATGAACTCAGTGCTTGTCTTGCTTTGGTTCATTTGTGATATAACAAATATTTGAGGGTATTTGCTGGTGGAGCAGATCTGTATTTACCACAGATAGACTATCAAAGAATTACTATGCCATTATTGATATGCCATTTTAGCATTAAAGCCTCTTACTGTGATGCTAGCTCTGAGCTTTGGTCGGGTTTCTAAGCTAGCTGGCATCAAGAGCTGCAGTCCACTCTGAGTTTAGTAGCACCTTATATAATAATTCAATTCAATTTTATTTATATAGCGCCAAATCACAACAAAAGTCGTCTCAAGGCGCTTCATAGGTACAGAGAAAAACCCAACAATCATATGACCCCCTATGAGCAAGCAGTTTGGTGACAGTGGGAAGGAAAAACTCCCTTTTAACAGGAAGAAACCTCCAGCAGAACCAGGCTCAGGGAGGGGCGGCCATCTGCTGCGACCGGTTGGGGTGAGAGAAGGAAGACAGGATAAAGACATGCTGTGGAAGAGAGACAGAGGTTAATAACAGATATGATTCAGTGCAGAGAGGTCTGTTAATACATAGTGAGTGAGAAAGGTGACTGGAAAGGAAAATAATAATATTTTAAAACTCAAAGGAGTGCAAAAGGTGCTTTTAACTGCACATCTCTTATCATGAAATGGACAAAATACATCAAGCAAACAGCATCCTGCCGCTTCTTGCTGTGGTTGTAGTCCAGTTATTTTTATGCTAACTGCTAGCTGGCTAATGCATCATGTTAGCATTGTGCTAAAAGTGCAAACCAATAAGTGGGTAGTTCCTATTCACTGTTCATTCATCTTTAACTGCCTATCCAATTCAGCGGGCTGGAGCCTATCGCAGCGATCACATGGTACGAGATGAGGTTACACCTGGACAGGTTCACGCTCACATTCACACCTACAGCCCAGACAAAGGGCTTACCACTGCACCGCTGTGCTGCTCCCATAGACTCTGTTACATGGAACTGATGCAGGTGACGCTAAGGCAGAAGTGCTTCAAACCTGCATTGCATTTACTGGCCAGCAGGGTGCGAATGTACAAACATGCATGGAAAAATAGCCCTAACTTTATGACCTCATGATGAGTTCATGGTCACAGCCATGAGTTTGTGCTCTTTGTGAATCCAAAGCCAAGTTCATTTTTTAAATTTGGTCCCATTAAAGTGAAATGAGTCATATCTGCCCGTCACTCATCACGGCCTTTTCAAAACACTCAGAAGCCACTAACCAATGGGCTACATCTTTTATTTACAGTCTGTGGAGTTACTATCAGAACCTGCACGGCGTGGCCCAGAGGGACTATAGAGCCTCTACACCGCAAAGGCTTAGAGTCAGCAATAAAGTACTTATCGTAAAGTAAATATAGGATCAGAAACCAATGATGAAAAAACAAAAACTGCAGGAAAAAAAAACAGAAAATAAAAAGGAAAAAGTAACAAAAGCAGAGAAACAGGAGCAAAGGTCATCCTCTCTGTGGTGCTGCTGAAGGCCGGTGACTGATGGCAGAGTCATCGGTTCCACACACACACAGACATAAACTCACACACACACACTCACACACGCGCACACACACACCTATTTGTACTGTAAAAAGTGCCTGTTTACTCTAAATGACAATGATAATCAATACACACACACACAGCTGTCCTTGGCGTGCACCTTCGAGTCTGCAGTGCCTGCTGTTGACATCTCATTTTTTAGGAAGTACGACTCTGTGTGTGTGTGTGTGTGTGTGTGTGTGTGTGTGTGTGTGTGTGCGTGTGTGTGTGTGTGTGTGAAGGGCAGCAGTGGGAGGTTGGTACCTTATGGCTGAGAACTCCTAATCCACATCACTGTAACTAACACACACACAC